CCCTCCCTCCCTCCCTCCCTCCCTCCCTCCCTCCCTCCCTCGCTCCTTCCTGGTAAGAGCATGACACAGACTCCTAGAATTCTAGACTTGAGCCACATGGGAATTTCTAAGCTCACGTGGCTGTCTCTGACCTCAGTGTGCCTCAGTCTCTGTCCTCCCCCGTTTGCTCACACGCTCATTCCTTCAGTCTCCTCTGTTAGTGCTGTCTTCCGTTACCTTCTTCATCTCGTGTGTTTGTTAGTGAGATCAAGTGTCATTTGTACCTGGGAGCTGTGATGGCATAACACTCTTCTCAGGCACTTGTGGGATCCAGAGAGCCCCCCTTTCTTACTTTGGTGAGGTGGTCTACAGGGCTCTAGATTCTGAGGTCGCCTTGTCCTGTAGGTCTGAGCTATTTCTCTGAGTGAGACAGCAGACGTCAGTGTCTTAATGACCCTTGCTGTTATAATTCTTAACTTCCTTACCAGTTTCTGTCTTTCTCTTTTGTGATGCCTGTTCTCATAGGTTTTTGTTTGTTTTCTTGTTTTTGACAAGTTTACGCAAACCCCTAGTTATGCCTGGTCTTAGCTTAGAAACTGCGACTCTAAAGTCATCCTCCAGGACTTCTGCGATTATTTAGAAGTCTGAGCAGCGCCTTTTCCTTCTCAGTTCATTTCAATGTTTTTCTTCTCCGATTCATGTTGATTCTGGATCTTTTGTTTTCATGACCTTCCTTGTTCCCCATCTGGTGCCTTGAAACTCCCTAGGTGGGACCAGGCTCCCCTTGAAGGCATGGAGATCCGCCTGCCTCTGCCTCCCAAGTGCTGGGATTAAAGGCGTGCGCCCCACTTCTGAGTCAGTTGTCTTGAGATGATAGCTCTAAAGCTGGAAGAGAGGAGACAGACAGTCCCTCAGTCCCCCAACATCAAGGATGCCCTCTTCTGCAGCAGGAGTGGTTTAGAATGGTCTAAATGCCACATTCAGGAGTCAGTGGGCAAGACTGCATTGCCCAGGAGGGCGTCCTTTATGAACTAGAGTGTCTCTCTGGCCCGTGCCACGTGTGATTCTCAGTGGCCTATTATTTTATTGGACCCCTATGTAAATTCACTGTAGGGCCCAGTCTAACACAGCCCTGACCCTACACCAGCCTCCTGTGGATCTGTGAACTGGAGCCATGGCCCTTGCTGCCTTGTAGGGAGCCAGTCTTGGACGTAGCAAAGCACGTTTCTTGGACGAGTTCATCCTTTTTGACTCCACCTGCTCCAAAGGCCCCAAGAACATGGCCAGTGTCCGACACCCTAGCTAACAACTGCGCCCAAACGTGGGATGCTGGCGTTTTTCCCTCTCTGACCTTGAACCGGTTTCTGCTGTTCTCAGTGTCACTATGAACTAAGAGCTTAGATCAGTAGAAGAGGGTGGGTCAGAGGGGTGGCCAGCAGAGCAGCTGCAATGTGCTTCCCTGGGTCGGGGCTGGTTTTCTGACGTCTACCAGATGCCTTTGCAGCATCCGCAGCTCTGTTTTCTCTGTTTCAGCCAAGGCAGCAGCCGTACATCCTGCCTCCCATGCACGTGCAATGCAGTGAACACTACTCGGAGACCCACACTTCCCAAGGTAACTGTCGCTCGTCCTTCTGCCGTCGTAAGACACAAGGCTGGGTCCCGGGGCACCGCAAAGACACTTGCTGGAAAATGTCAATGATGGTTGGATTTTAACTTTGTCATTGTCTAATTACAGTGGCCATCAGATTCAATTTGTGAAATTAAGCATAGTAGCTGCCTGGGAAGGAAAATACCCGAGATCTGGCTAACTAGGAAGACGTGTGGCTGGGCTGAGCTAAAGGATGCGTTCTTGTTTCCTTGCCTCCCATTTTTGTGGGCCAAGGGTGGAGATTGACAGCCCAGCCCTCCCGGGGTGCTTGCTTCAACCTCGGGGCCAATGTCAGGAGCTTGGAGCAGCCACATGGTTCCGGGGTGCCTGAGCAAACCTCTTACCCTCATGATTCAGTGGTTTTTCTTACCCTCCTCCCTTCAGGCCCTTTTCTCTGCGTGCCGGGACAAGAATGAACATGGACCAGTGGTTGTGAGGTGTCAGGTGCTAGGCGAGGAACTTGTTGTGTATTGTCTCATTTAATCCTGCAGTAAGCCTGTGGTGCTATTGTTTCTGTACAGAAATAGGGAGACAGAGGTTAAATGCTAGACCTTGGATATAAGAACTGTGTGGGTTCCCCTGCGTGCGTGTGTGCGTGCGTGCGTGCATGCGTGTGTGTAAAGCCCTGCATATCCAGAATGTGTGTGTTTATGTGTATGACATTGTATATCCAGAGTGTTTGTATATTTGTGTGTGTGTGCATGCATGCGTGTTGTGCGTGTGTGTGTGTGGCCCTGCATATCCAGAATGGACCTGACTTAGAAACTGGCTTTTGTGGCTCATGGGTTGGGGAGGTGACTCAGTGGTTGTCTTAGTCGGGGTTTCTATTACTGTGGTAAAACACCACGACCAAAAACAACGAGGGGAAGAAAGTTTATTTCAGTTTACACCTCTCAGGTCACACTCCATTACTGAAGGAAGTCAGGACAGGAGCCCACAGTAGGAGCAATGCAGAAGGCCCCAGAGAAACGCTGCTTTTCCCAGCTTGTTTCTCATGGCTTGCTCAGCCTGTTTTCTTATACCAGCAAAGACCACCTGCCCAGTGTAAGACACCCACAGTAAGCTGGGCTCTCCCACACGAACCCTTCATCAAAAAAAGAAAAAACCAGAAAAAATGCCCCCATAGACCTACCAACCGTGTGGAGGCATTTTCTTGGTTCTTCTTTTCCATATATAAAGTTGTCACAGACACCAGCACAGCACTGCTGTGCAGGAGTGAGCTCCGGAGTGTGGGTGCTCAGAATTCACTCGAATGCCAGGTGAGGGTAGCGACCCACCTGAAGTTCCAGCTCCACAAGGCTGAGGTGGGATCCCTAAGCAAGATGGCTACTGAGACTCAGCAGCAGCACACTCAAGTGGAGCTGAGAGCCCCTCCTGAGCGGATCACACAGAAGAGTGAGCAAGGATGACTGCTAGAACAAACATTGGTTGTCCATGCAAGTGCATACACATGCCCCCACGTGCACACATGCCCCCACGTGCACACACGCCCCCCCACGTGCACACATGCCCCCACATGAACACACGCCCCCACGTACACACAAGCCCCCCCACGTGCACACACAAACCCACAAGAACACAAACACCCACAAGTACACACACACCCCACAAGAACACACATGCCCCCACGTGCACTCTTGCTACCCTACGTGCACACACGCCCCCACATGCACACATGCCACAGATACACATGAAAACTGCTTTTGTAGCTCTTTAGGTTCCTTCAGCCATTGTTACTTTTTACTGGAATTAGCTAGAGGGAGGCTTCAGGAACACCTCAGAAACTCTTGATTCTGACCTTTTTTTTCCGCTGGCTGCTTGCTGTTCAGAGACCATGGCCATGCTGGCCACGCCGTCAGCCTCGCTTCTCTCTGAATGCTCGTCAGTCCCTTAGGTTAAGAGCCCTTTTCTGATATAGTCAGAGAGAGTAGTTCTGAGGATGGGGCAGTTTGAGTCTATTACTCTATTAAAACTCTGGACTTTTCTGGCCCAAATATCCGGTTCTGCCCTGAAGCTGTGTACAAGAGGCCTGGTCTCCCCAACAAGTGGCTCATTATCTCCATCTAATTATAGCAATTTGAGACGGTGCCCACGCGATGCCCACGTTGTGCACTTCCTTTGCACTGCGCTCTGACGTGTTCTATACATGGACACTTTATCCGAGGTAGCAGTTCTTGGTGACATATGTGGGGGAGGGTCAGGGAATTTGCCTTTTTATGACTTATTTCAGTCATCTGCTCCAGGGACTTAGGGGGGAGGTCTCTTGAAACAGTGGCGTGATGGTTCATGTTCCTGTGTTTGGCTTTTTGCAGACAGCATTTTCCCTGGGAACGAGGAAGCCTTGTATTGCAAATCTCACAACAGCCTGGACTTAAACTACTTAAATGGCACCGTCACCAATGGCAGCGTGTGCAGTGTTCACAGTGTTAACTCCCTCAGCTGCTCCCAAAGCTTCATCCAGGCCTCTCCGGTGTCCTCCAACCTCAGCATCCCTGGAAGCGACATCATGAGGGCGGACTACATCCCCAGCCACCGACATAGCACCATCATCGTACCTTCTTACAGGCCCACCCCTGACTACGAGACAGTGATGCGGCAGATGAAGAGGGGGCTGATGCATGCAGACAGCCAGAGCCGGTCTCTGCGGAACCTCAACATCATCAACACCCATGCTTACAACCAGCCTGAGGAACTGGTGTACAGCCAGCCAGAGATGCGGGAGAGGCATCCCTACACTGTCCCGTACGCGCCCCAGGGGGGCTACGGTCACAGACTTGTTAGTCCATCTGACCAGATGAACCCCAAAAATAGTGCAGTGTGTAGCAAGCCAGGGGCCAGCTCCATCTCTCACACGGTGAGCACTCCAGAGCTGGCCAACATGCAGCTTCAAGGAACACAAAACTACAGCACAGCCCACATGCTCAAGAACTATCTCTTTAGGCCCCCACCCCCTTACCCTCGGCCTCGGCCTGCCACCAGCACCCCAGACCTCGCCAGCCACCGCCACAAGTATGTCAGTGGCAGCAGCCCTGATCTGGTGACTCGGAAAGTCCAGCTTTCCGTAAAAACCTTCCAGGAGGACAGCTCTCCCGTGGTCCATCAGTCTTTGCAGGAAGTAAGCGAGCCCCTTACCGCCACCAAGCACCACGGCACGGTGAATAAACGCCACAGCCTAGAGGTGATGAACAGTATGGTACGCGGCATGGAGGCCATGACACTGAAGTCACTCAATATCCCCATGGCTCGCCGTAACACGCTTCGGGAGCAGGGCCCCTCCGAGGACGCGGGTGGCCATGATGTGCACGGGCTTCCCCAGTACCGCCACAAGAAGACATTCTCGGATGCCACCATGCTAATCCACAGCAGTGAGAGTGAGGAGGAGGAGGAGGCCCCTGAGGCAGTGCCTCAGATTCCGGTCCTTCGGGAGAAGGTGGAATACAGTGCCCAGCTGCAGGCCGCCCTGGCCCGCATTCCCAACAGGCCCCCGCCGGAGTACCCAGGGCCAAGAAAAAGTGTCAGTAACGGGGCACTGCGGCAGGACCAGGGGACCGTCCTTCCTGCCATGGCCAGAGCCCGGGTGCTGAGACACGGGCCAGCCAAGGCCCTTAGTGTCTCTCGGGCCGAGCAGCTGGCTGTCAATGGGGCCTCTCTGGGCCCCTCCATCTCTGAGCCTGACCTCACCAGCGTGAAGGAGCGGGTCAAGAAGGAGCCTGTGAAGGAGAGGCCCGTGTCAGAGATGTTCTCCCTGGAGGACAGCATTATAGAGAGAGAGATGATGACTAGGGTGAGTGTCCCCACTCCCAGGTCGCTGATGGAGGCCTAGAGGAGGGAGGCTTCAGGGAGCGTGCTGGGCCCTAAAGGCCTATGGGCATTTCAGCCTTGATGTCCCCAGATGTGGGTTTGCTTTGTCAAGGAACATCTGCCATCCCATTTCCATTCGTGGCTACAGCTGGTATGTAGTACAGAACATTTAGTGACTAGGCGCGTTCCTGAGGAAGTTACCACTGAGCCCAGGTACATCCCTGAGGGGGTTACCACTACACCCCAGTCCGTATCAGGGTTGCTCTATGAGAATCTCACTCGTGCGTATGTGCGTGCACATGCATCGTCCATGCTTACACACCACATTCGAAGACACGCCGCAGTGTTGCTGTTACAGATGACCCTTCACGGGGATGCACACAGCTCCGAAAGCTAGTTCTGCTGTCGGGGCGAGGCCACGCGGGGGCAGATTGTGTAAACGAGAAAATAAACACCTCTTACAATGAGAACATTGCTGGATTGTAGTTGCTGCTGCTGCTGGAAAAGAGAAACCCTCCCCTACTGCTTTTCCTGGAAACCCTGACCTCCCTAAAAAGCCTTTCGATTATGTAACTAATTGAGCCAGTTGACGGCTTTTTGTTGGTTACAGCTGTCGGGTAGTCTGCTTTGTCGGAGGTCATTAGGCTCATTGCCGAGTCTTCCAAACTCATCCTGGGAATCGACCCAGACAGAGGAAGTAAAGGCCAAAGTTTTACCGAAGCCACACTGCTGGGTTGAGAGGTCGAATCCAACCTTACTACTTTAGAACAGCCTGAAGGCATCTCAGCCCCGAGGTTCTGGTGATCAGCAGGGTGGCAACCAGAGTCAGCCTGGATGGACCGCATGCTTCTTGCTTTGCAAATGGGGAGGGAAATTTTGAAGTCTCTGCCTCTGGGGGTAAACACACACACACACACACCTTTGGCTGGGGATGGAGTGAAATGCGGGGGTGGGTACCATGAAGAGACAGCGTTCCCAGCTTGGAAAAGAGTAATTCATTGGTGTAAAGTGATGTCTCAACACTTCTTGGCTCCAGGCCTCTTAAAAGCTGCCTTGGCTTCAGGAATCCATCACCGTAAGCACTGAGCTTCGAAGCTGGCCCTGACAAGTTGAGACTTAACGATGTCCACATGGTCTTGTAACCTCCTCTTGGCTATCCTCATCCTCTCCTGTTGCCCAGATTAAACAAGTAGCCCGCAGCCAGGGCCCTGGTCCCGGGGCCCTGCTTGGAAGCATGGTACAGACACCGAAGAAGAGTGAAGGGCTCCCTGCTGTCTCCTCCCCCAGTTCTGTTTTCTTCCAGGATGGTGGATCACACCGACTGGCAGATCTAACCGTTAGCTTTTCGCTCGGGAACTGCATTCCTGTTCCTGTTAGACCCCCTCAGCTCACACAGCCTCACACAACTGGGAGTTCGCAGACTGCTACCCTTGAGGTCTATGTCCCAACCTCAGAGAAGCACCGGAGGAGGCCAAGCTAGGCCAGTGGCTCCACCACTCAAGATGAATCTTCGTCATGAAGTCTGTATTCGTACCGGCCTAGGCGACACCCACACAGCTTCTCCACTCCTCTCTGTATGGAGAGAAGGAAAGAAGGCTACGGCAGCCATACCAGCCCCTCTCACCGAGAGAACAGACAGAAGCCTCAAGCCTGTGTGTAGGATTGGGTGCAGTGAGCTCCCTGTTCGCAGTCGCTTTTCCTGTAATGGACGGCTCTGCTTAGGGCCCATGCTTCAATTCTGCTGCCTCCTTGAAGACATTTTCCACCTCCCAGCCCCGAGGCTGGAGTCGTGTTCAGAGAGCAAAGAAAGCCAGTTCAGTTTAGAAAGGTTCAGAAAGACCTTCTAGTTTGATTTATTTCATTCATTTTTTTGTTGTCCCTGCTGCAAAGCTAACGGGATAAATGACATCGGCAACGAAGAGGCCTGGTTCAGTTATCACTATATCCAGTTCTCCCGGGGTAGGTAGTGAGCTTTTTCCAAGAACAGCAATCCTTGAGCTCTGGAGGCAGAAGCAGGAGGATTGCTTGCAAGTTTGAGGAGCAGCCAGGGTTGCCTAGTAAGACTCTGTCTCAAAAATCAAACAAAAACAAAACCTGTGAAGCGCTTCAAAACTGAATGAAAAGAGGGGATAGGAAAGAGTTATCTTTCACAAAACTGAGCTAATCAGGGGGTGAATCCAGACGTATCCCAGAGGCCTGCTTGGCACAGAGGTGCCAAGGCTGTTCATACCTCAGCCACCCATCACATCTCACTGTGCCCTCCTCGCCGATGCCCCCTTGGTTGTTCGTGGGTCAGCCTGTCACCAGCCGTAGTTGTCCTGTTGGTAGCGCCCCTCACAAAGGCTTCTCACCCATTGTAGGAGCACATTGATGACAGTGAAGCCCGTGCCAGCCATGTCCCCACCACCCCGCCCCCACCTTACTCAGCGCCACGTCTGCAACAACATGGCGCCATCAAGATACCTCCTCCAGGAGTAAATTGATTAGCAGTGCAATAAGAAAACAAATCCTTGACGATCCCAGGCTGCCACCTCGTCTATAGCAGTCACAGGCGTGTACAAACGGGCATGACATGATTGTGCATCAGAACGGCCCCTTGCACACTTTCCCAAACATCTTAAACAAAATTATTTTCAAGAGCTGTGCACAGTAGGCTGCTGGCAGTAAACAGGATATCCGTCCCCCTGCTGATGCCAGGGACGTGAGGATGCTCAAGGGTCGTTCCAGCATTCACTCTGACCACATCCGGTTCAGCCCAGAGATGAGGGGGAGATAGGATTGGCTAGGCCACACTCCTGTCACGCCCCTCCAGCGAGGGGCAGTGGTCAGTACCCTTTGTCTACCCTGAATGGAGCGTGAAGGCTGAAGGCCTGGTGGTTCACGGTCTGGGGCTGGCAAAGCAGGTATCTCAGGGACTGGGAGTAGGCGTAAGATTCAGGTCTTCATCCCGAGCCCTTCAGAATAGAAACCCCATTTTCTTCCTTTGCTGGTGTGTAGTATCTATGCATCAACATGGTAGCTGGTGGGTTTTACGCCATTAGTCAGTGCAAAAGGCCTGTCCTTGTGATGGACTCGGTCCGGGTCGTCTGTTTTCTTCCGTCTTCAGCCCATGTTTTTCTAAAGCATATTGTATGCACCCCCTTTGTATGTTCTCTTGTAAAACCCGTGGCTAGGTATGTTTTCTAGGGCATCTATCTCTATCTTTCTAGCGCATGAGTTAATTAAGAATAAAGGCCCTAGGGTCCTGTAAGAACCGGCCTCCCTGGGCATGGTGGGAATAATGGGAAGCCTGTGTTGAATTTGCCCTGCTAATGGTGAATGTCTGCATTCCTTGGCTGGGGAGTCACAGATTTGGGGAGATTAAAACACATTCCAGCCTTCCCCTGGAATTATAAACAATGAGAACGTGTCTTTTCTTGCCGGAAGAATCTCGAGAAGCAGAAGATGGCAGGCCTGGACCCACAGAGGAGGCCACTTATGCTGGCAGCGCTGAACGGGCTCTCGGTGGCCCGCGTCCCGGGGCGGGAAGACAGTCGACACGATGCCACCCGAGTCCCCATAGATGAGAGGGTGAGTGCTGGGCATGCCGGGTGTGCCTTCGGATTCCAGAAGTCCCGCTTTGCCCAGACCCGCCAGTGCCGTCTCCCTCATGGGTTAATTCTTTCACACTGGAGACGGCGTGGTCCAAGTGTACTGTGTGAAAGCCAACCCTTTTCAACACCTCCTCTTTCTTCACTCTGGTCTCCACACTTACCAAGTTAGTGTATTGATGCTTTATTAAAAAGTCTAGCCCCAGGGCTGGTGAGATGGCTCAGTGGGCGTAGAAGCTTGCTGCCAAGTCTGACGACCTGAGATCAATCCCTGGGACTCACATTGCGCAAAGAGAGAACCGACTTTCTCAGGGTTTGCTCTTACCTCTACACAGCTTGCTCCCCTCCCCAAAATAAATAATTAAACAAAAGAACAACCTCTAGCAAGCGGTGTGACCTCGGCCTACTCACTTAGTTCTTAACTTTTTAATCGTAAGTGGGGAATATAATTAGAGTTGTATATCTATTTTTATGTGATTTTAGGACTTAAGGGAAAAATGCAGAGTTGCATTCTGATGTGATTGACATCCTTGTTTCCCTCACACAACTGAATCTAAGGATGCACTAATTTGAAACACGCTGAGGGATGGTGGGGAAATATTAAAAATTTTCATTTCCTGCAATGGAGCCATTATGTTTCTCTAAGTGTGGAGAACTCTTTTTGTAAGATGAGGAAGTTAATTTTCCCAACCGTCACGTTCAGTGACTTTTGTCAACGATTGCTGTTTCCTAGGAAACCGTCACCCAAGGTTTTATTGCCCTGTGGTTCCCCCTCAAGGGCTGTAAGGTGTGTGATGGATAGTTCCTTGGTTAGGTACTGGTTCTGTGTTGCTGAGGGGGTAAAGAGGTTCCCCGAAGCTGCCGGGCTGGCTACCAGAAGCTCTGGAAACTGGTTTCCTGAAGTCACTGACTAACAGGGTGTAGATTTCTTTCTGCAGACACTCGGGATTAGAATGTTTTCTGGATCAGAAGGGACATTGCCCCAATGAATACCATGTAATTGAAATCAGGCAAGTTATGCTGTGTGTGGAGTTTGCTCCTCAGCGCTCTGCCACTGACTGATCCGTTCAGTAAAAACTGCTCTGAGGGTAAAGGGTGCTTCCCAGTTAAGACTGACGCTGTGCCTGTCAGCAGAGGTCATAGGCGGCACAAGGAGTTTGCATTTCAGCGGAAGTCTGTCTTTGCAGATTGCAGCTTATGGCTGGGTGGTCAGGGCAGAGACTAGCGGTGTGGGGGCTCGTGCGTGAGGGCGGTAGCCAAGTGGGAGTGCCGAGAACCCGGTTGCCCTGCTGGAACTAGGGGAGCTGATGCCCGCCTCTCTTGCAGCTCCGAGCCCTGAAGAAGAAGCTAGAAGAGGGAATGGTGTTCACGGAGTATGAGCAGATCCCCCACAAAAAGGCCAATGGCATCTTCAGCACCGCCACTCTGCCAGAAAATGCTGAGCGTAGCCGGATCCGAGAAGTCGTCCCCTACGAGGAGAACCGGGTGGAGCTCATCCCGACCAAGGAGAACAACACAGGCTACATCAACGCCTCCCACATCAAGGTGAGGGGTGTCAGAGGCATCCAGCAGGGTATTTCTGCAGGCGGAGGTGCGCTAACCCTCCCTACGCCGTGGCTAGCAGGACTGGTATGTGACTCACGGGTGATGGACATGGGAACTCGTCTCCCTCGTTGGCAGTGGCTCTTATTCTGTCCAAGAGCAGCAAAACCATTGCTTCTTCCTTGTAATACCACAGACAGTTCACTTCAGGGCCAAACCCTAAGAGCAGGGTGGTTTGTACACAAACCACAGTTGATGGCAGCAGATCCTCAGCCAATGAATGGGGTGTGCAGGTGTGAGGTCCCCCCCAGATTTCATTTGTTTTCATTTTATGGGTGTGTTTGCCTGCGTGTATGCATGCATACCATGTGCGTGTGATGGCTGTAGAGGTGGGCAGAGAGCATCGGATCCTGTAGAAATGGTATTACAAGGAGTTGTGGGCCTCCATGTGGGTGCTAGGAACTGAACTCGGGTTCTCAGCAAGAACAACAAATGTTCTTTTTTTTTTTTTTTTTTTTTTTGGATTTTTCGAGACAGGGTTTCTCCGTAGCTTTTGGTTCCTGTCCTGGAACTAGCTCTTGTAGACCAGGCTGGNTGGATTTTTCGAGACAGGGTTTCTCCGTAGCTTTTGGTTCCTGTCCTGGAACTAGCTCTTGTAGACCAGGCTGGCCTCGAACTCACAGAGATCCGCCTGCCTCTGCCTCCCGAGTGCTGGGATTAAAGGCGTGTGCCAGCCACCGCCGCCCGGCGCAACAAGTGTTCTTTAACCTCTCAGCCATCTCTCCAGCCCACAGTGTGTGGGATTTCCGTTCATATCTCAAATATTTCATGTCTCAGTATGTCATAGCTTAGCTGAGCCCCAGTCAGAATTCGGAGCTGTAAACACGTGGGCACCTAGAGTGAGTGATTTCCGAAGCAGCTTACCCTCCCCAGTTTTCCTATTGACTGGAGGTGCTTCTTTAGAACCGGCTCTGAACTCAGAGATGGGAGAGTGTTTCAAAGGCTCCAGCTTAGTCATTGGCTACGGGACAATTTTACATAACGTGGTTCATCTGAATAATCTGTGTGATCAGTAGCTTTGAACTCTCAGTCTTCTTGGAGTTTCCAATTCTGCTGGAATTGCTAGAAGGTTGCTTTGACCCCCACCCCCAGCCAAGATGCAGTTAGGTATCGGGTTTGTGTATCACGCATAGCCAGTTTTCATATGAGACTTGAAAAGTGTGACATGTTTGGGTATGATGTGTTTATACGTAAGTCATAGATAGTGCTATGCATATACATTTATAGCATACAGGTTTTTTGATTTTTGAGAGCAAGAACCAAACCAATAAAATAATGAATGCCAGGGAACTCTCAAGTAAACCGCAGCTGAGGATGGCGCAGCTGCCTCCCGATGAAGTGCCTCTGGATTCCGTACAGAGGGAGATTCTCCTGGCCTCTTCCCTTGGCCCAGTCTCTTCCTCATTTTCCATCTGCTCTTCGGAAGCAGCTGCCACTCCCCATAAGCAGTACCCTCTGGGCATTGGTACCCGAGATGCCTTCCCTTCCGCGGTATTCTCTGAGGCCCACATTTCATCTTACGGATCCAGGGTAGACGGCGGAGCAGCTCACAGGCCCAGAGAACTTGCAGGAACTCGCCCTCGGCTTCTGGAACCAAGCTGTGTGCTTCGCCACTGTTTTCTCCCCTGGGTTCCAAGCAGCCTTTAACGCGGAAGGAGGCTGAGCTCCTCCAGGGGTGGGGTTAACATCTGCGACTCTCTGGCTGGGGTTGCTGTACCGACTGACCATTTCCACGCAGATTTTACTGCCCTCCTGTCAGTACTGGAGGAGGCAACATTCTCTGCGGTTGGTTATGGTCCCTACACATTGAGTGCCAGGATGGATAGTGTTTAAGATCCTGGTTCCACAGACACCCCTGCCCCCTCCCAGTGAGTCTGTGGATGTTTTCTCCCACCGTATGTGGAGAGTGGGGGTTTTCTTGCGCACCTGAACATGTCTGTGTGATAAGACGAGAGCTGATGTAAATACTAAAATAAAATACATAAAATAAATGAGGAGAAACGTCCCGAACAGTGATGCGCCCGTTGCTTCTGGAACCCCCTGGAGGTCTGCATTGCATGGATGTGTATAGGGGCTTGTGTCTGTCCTGTCTAGGCACATGTAAGAGACAGACCAAAGATGTTCGCCTTGAGAGTGTGACCTCCAGTTCCCTAGGTCTGTTTTTGCCAGTGGGATGTTTTTGTAGACTATGCTTTTATTTAAAGTCTATCAGAGAGCCCTGTTCCTCATTGTCCAGAATTACAGTCCTTTGGTGGCTGTGGAACTAATTTAATGGTGGTAATCATGCATATACTTTAAAAAATATAGACTAAAGAATAGAATCTGTAAGAACGCATTGTACACACTAAGCATAGATGTTTTTATAACATAAATTCTGTTCATTTATGCTTAGGTGTTTGCATAAACTCTTGTGTACATTTATGTGACTATACATATATGTGTGGTATGTGTGTGTGTGTGCACATGTATTGTGCACTCCCCCATGTATGCACAAATGAAGGCTAAAGGTAAACATCATTTATCTTCTGCATCACTCTTGAGTTTATTATTACATTTTATTTTGTGTGTCTGTGTCTTTCTATGTGTGTGCCCGTGTCTGTGTGTCTGGTGTGTGTGTGTGTGTGTGTGTGTGTGTGTGTGTGTGTGTGTACATCAGAGGACAAATGGCAGGAGTTGGTTCTCTCCTTCCATGACGTGGATCCTGGGGGTCATGCTTAGGGTATCAGAGTTAACGTGAGGCACCCTCACCACCGACCATCTCACCCAGCCCCTCCACCTTACTTTCGAGGCAGGCCTTTCACTGAGCCTGGACTCACTGTGTCCACAGTGTGGCCAGTGAGCCCCGGGAACCCTTGCTCTTTATCCTCCCAGCCCTGGGATGACAGGCACACACCACCTAGCGTATATGTGGGTGTTGGGGATCTTTACTCGGGCCCTCACGCTTGTGCAGAAGGCACTTTGCCTACTGAGCATCTCCTCAGCCCACGTGTGTACGCTTTTAATCCATTCTAGTTTGTAGGTACTGCCTGTTGTATGTGAAAAAAGATCAGGAAAGTCTGACTTGTTAGGCTGGCTTGAGCCAGGAAGCATTTTGATATGGAAGTATGTCATCTGCTGTGTATGGCTTCTGGGTTTTCAGGATCGCACCGGTCCACGTGGCCCAGAAGAATAGAATCGGGTGTGGTCCCACCAGCCCGGCTCACTGTCCTTCCCTTGCCTTGCAGGTGGTGGTTGCTGGGGCAGAATGGCACTACATCGCCACCCAGGGACCCCTGCCGCACACCTGCCATGACTTCTGGCAGATGGTGTGGGAGCAGGGGGTCAACGTGATCGCCATGGTCACCGCGGAGGAGGTAAGGGTGGCTTGCTGAACGCCCCTGTCCTGGGGAAGGGGTGGCCAGAAGGTGGGCCTGGAACCCATGACTTCGTGTGCCTGCAGATTCATTTTCCCCTGGCGTGCCCCCTCTTAGCCTGTGTGTGCCTCCTTCCCCAGCGATGGTTGACAGTGGACTCTTTCTCTTCTCGTTTTCCTTTGGCTCCTAACTCTTTTCTTTGTGACCGTACTTCACTACGACGGAAACTAAACACATAATCAAAACGACCAAACTTGAGTTCATCCAGCGGGCGGCGTGTACCCCACAGAACGGTTCAGGCTGTGCTGGGTAAACACACGGGGCCTCCCAACCCTGGCGCTGCCAGCCCTGCGTGCCATGGTGCTTATCAGCCGAAAGGAGACCAGAGTCACTGCTGGAGGAAAGGGCTGAATTCTTCAGGGAGCAGGAAAAGAAAATGCCTTTTCTTCCTGTGCCAAGGCAAACACAGGTTCTCTGTTGCAGCTGAGGAGCCGTGCTGCACAGACTGGCAGGCCCTCCCCCGCGCGGTGCCGCCTGCTCAGAGCTCGCCGACCCTGGGGAAAGAGTTGGATTTCCTCTCTGTCACACTTGCAAAACATTTTGCCCCACTCCCTTTAATCCTCTTATGAGATTCCAAGTTATATTTTCAAATTCATTTAGGGAACTAGCTTCATGCATTTGACCAAGATCCTTGGTATTATGAGGCCCCATTCCCACCTGTTATCCAGGGCCAGGAGCAGAGACCTGGGGCACAAAATCAGTCATGGCTGTCCACCATCACCACCAGTGGGTACCGGGCACTTGCTTTCTAGAGCGGTTTATGGAGAAATTTGGTGAGGCCACGTTGCATTGTCAAAGGTCAAATACGCTTCTCTGTCAAATACACATTCTCTGTCTGACCTTCCACTAAGAAAGTAAATCCTAGGGCTGGTGAGACAGCTTACCACCGGTAAAGAGCCTGCCACGAAAGCAGCCACCAGCAAAGCGCCTGTATTTGCATGTAATCCCAGCACCGGGGAGGCAAAGGCAGGAAGATTCCCCAGCTGGACACTCAGTGTTGACCTTTGGCCTCCACAGGCGCACATGCCCAGACCCACGTGAATACATACCGCATATATACACATATACACAAACACCCAGAAAATAAATTTTCAAAACTACTGACACCATTAAACTAAATTAAGGATCCTAATAGTTCATGCCGTGGGAGGTTACTGTTACTTTATTACTGCTTACTTATTTTGTCTCTGTGATGTGGTCCTCATAGCCCAGGTTGGCCTGTCCATGTAACTCTGTCGTCGATCTGTGTAGACTGTAGGGTGGATGGTGGATGCGGCAGGCACTTCCCTTTTCCCCACGGTGTTTACCTCCAGCGGGGGACACTGAAAAGTGAACCAGTAGCACACATGGGGGCGGGCAGCTGTGGCTCTGCAGAGGCGCCAGTGTTCCAGCCGAAGCATCGGTGACAAGCAGATCTGCCGTGTCTAAACAAAGCAGAATCTAGTGATCCGCGGGATGGTCAGGAATGGATCATTTTGTAAAATCCAGAACTGACTCAGGCACTGAGCCAAGTGTGAGTTTGAGGTCTCACATTAACCCCCCTTTGTAGGATCTGTGTATAAAAGAACAAAGTGCTGCAGACCTAGGGAGGAGACTCAGTCCAACCCTCTGGGACCAGACAGGATGACTAGTGCCCGGCAAGGGACACTGAGCAGGCCAACTGATAGTTCCTTTACTTAATTATTTAGTGATCCGCCTTGAGACAGGGTCTCACATAGCCCAGGCTGGCTTCAAACTTGCTGTGTAACCAAGGCTAACCTTGACCCTTTGACCCTCCTGTCTCCACCTCCCACCATACCTGGTTCATGTCGTATTGTGGGTTGGACCAGACTTCATGCGTGTTGTCTCTGCATTCTGACCACTGAGCATGTCCCAGTCGATCTTCGTGTGTCCCGCCACAGCTCCCTGCTCCTCGTGTCTTCTTCCTGCCCCCCAGCCTCTGCACTCTATCTGTCCTCAGCCAGCAGCTCCTCCATGCTTCCCACCCACACCAGTGATTGCTGACCCACACGAGACCGGACACTAAGACTTTGTAGATGGTGCACGGTCTCAGGACAGAAGACAAAATCTGGGAAGAAAGAATGGCACACACTTGGCTGTTCTCTGCCTTGGCTGTATGTTGAGCTTTAACAAGCCAGCCAGGCTGAACGAAAAGTGAGAACAGCCCTGGATGAAAGTGGCAGCGTCGGTCAGAGGGTGGTACCCTGTGGAGAGCCCTGGGTTAGCATCAGCGTGAAAAGCAGGCTGTGGGCCGGCCACCAGGATCTGCTGCTTACCAGCCTGGAGCCTTCAGTGGCTTTCTGTTCTCCATGGGCTCCCTGCAGGCACCCCACAGAGCTCTGGGGAGATGTGATTTAGAAACTGCTGCCTGCTCTCCTGTTCTCGGACCCTAAGGCCAGGAGCAGAGTTCATCCTTTTTTTCACCTGTGCTTTTGTGTGTGTTTCAGGAGGGCGGACGGACCAAAAGTCATCGATACTGGCCCAAACTGGGGTCCAAGCACAGCTCAGCCACCTATGGCAAGTTCAAGGTCACCACGAAGTTCCGCACAGACTCTGGTTGCTATGCAACCACAGGGTTAAAGGTCAAGCACCTGCTGTCTGGCCAGGAGAGGACGGTGTGGCACTTGCAGTACACTGACTGGCCCCACCACGGCTGCCCAGAAGATGTCCAAGGATTTCTGTGTAAGTTTTTCCCAGACTGGGTTTTGCTGAGGGCATCAGTTGTCGGTCAGATAGAGAGGAGAGGCAGGGGGACCACGGTAATACCAAAGCTTTGATCTCCCCGCCTCTGCACAGGGCAGAGAAGAGTGATAGATACCTCTTGTGTTCTCTTAACGTTTTATGCACGTCCACAAGACCATGATAAGCTGATTCTGCATTGATTTAGACTTTTAGTGTCTCAGTAAGCATTACCATGTAACATATGCTATAACACAGATAAACCCTGGAACACACCAAGTCAAAGGTGACAGACACAAAGGGATAAGAACCGTAGGATTCTGCCCTGCATCAAGCACCTGCATCAGGCAAATCTATTACCTGTATTGTCTTTTCAGGGCACAGATATTATAGGTACTGATTCATGAGACTATGTGGGTGTCCTGAGTGCCAGGCAGTGGCTCAGGGCAGGTAACCAACAGCTATTGCGCAAACTGTGGCCATCACAGAGGCCCTACTGTGTATACATTGGACCACATCAGAACCTTGTTTTATTCTTGATGTGTTTAGAATTGGCATTAGGGGCTGAGATGCAAGAGCAGACAGACTAGGTTGTCAAGACCTAGAAAACCACTCCACCGGCTCTGTTGGATTCTATGATGAGTTGACAGAGGATGACGTTTGCCGCTGAAATGGGGACAGGCCTCAGTGGGCACAGTGAACACAAAACACAGGACAGTGGTGAGCAGAGGACCCAGAGAGGTTAGGGTTAGCCTGAGGTCAAGTGACCAGCTATCTAACACAGGAGGGATGTGACTGCTCCCTCCCTCCTAACAGAGCTCTTTTTATCCAGTTTGGGGAATCTTCTGCGAGTGGACTGGTTAAAGTTGTCTCCAAGAAGAAGACCCTGGAAACAATACAAGTAGATTGGTTTGATGGTTGATAGCCCTACTGAAGTGTGGGACCCGTGAGAAGGTCTAAAGTGTAGTTGAATTTTTAAAACCAGCCTGTTTAAGGAATGCCAGTCTAAGCTACCGAAGGGTACAGGGCCTCCCTTCAGGGAACATGTGTTGCCTAAGAACTGTTTTTGTGAGGCTCTTTATGCAGTGGGGTTGTATAGCATGGTGGAAACACTGGCTGTTGGATTGTCTGAGGAGCCTGCTTTCCCTTTTACGTGGCGATAGGGAGACACATTAAGGATTATGTGGCCGCTTTTCTTTTGTACCCACTGGGGCTGTGAGCAAACCTTTGAACAGCCCTGCTGGCCTGGGCAGCTGCTGAGAGGGACAAGAGCTGTTCTCGAACCCTCCACCCACAGGCTCGTTGCCTCCAGAAGTGGGGCTCATCTTGAATGTTCATGTAACCTGATGGAAGTGGATTCCCCAAAACCCGTTTTTTTTACATCTGACAGTGAAATCAAGCCTTGGTTGACATTCACTGCTTTGATGAGGGGCGGGGGGAAGGGATGGGGCAGGGGCAGGTGGCTGCTCCTTGCCCAACAGGAGAAGGCTCTGACTGGCAGGCATTTCTAGGGGACGTAGCGGCTGCTCTGATCCCAGTCTGTTAATAGTATGAAGTGCGGTGAGTAATGTCTAGAATCATCTGCTTGGGGGACTTGGGGATTTGCAGAAGGGAAAAGAGAATTTAATTTTTAAAAAAGCGCTATTTAAAGAACAAATTCTCCAGTGGACTAATTGACTCCCAGCTGGTCTCTTCTGGATCCAGGAGGTTACAGCAGGTACCAGCCAAATGATTAATGTCTTATAACAATTGCAAATTATTATGATTGCAAACAAAAGATTTACCCTCATTCCTGGCGCCTCTCCCCCAATCTCCCTGGGTAAAGTTATGTGACACACGTGGGTGACGAGACTCACATTGTGTCCCGCAGCCTACTTGGAGGAAATCCAGTCAGTCAGGCGTCACACCAACAGTGTCCTGGAAGGCATCAAGACCAGGCACCCGCCCATCGTGGTCCACTGCAGTGCAGGGGTGGGGAGGACTGGCGTGGTCATCCTTTCCGAGCTCATGATCTACTGCCTGGAGCATAATGAGGTGAGTTGTCTGTCTGCCTATCCCCCCTTTCCTTCAGGCACCATCACCCTGAGTCTTGAGCCATGATCGCTCCTTGGCCTGGAGCTTACTGAGCAGGGTGAGCTGGCTGGCCAGTGAGCCCCAAGGGTCCTCCTGTCTCCACTTCCCCGGTGCTGGGATTTGTGCATAGCATCCTGCAGAGTTGTTATTGTTTACATGGTTTGGAGGAATTGAAGTCTGGTCCTCTAAGCCATTTATGCACTGGGCCATGCATGGTCCCAACCTCGCCTTCTGAGTGCTTGCTGTACCTTGGTCCCAGCTCTGCACGAGATCCGCTCTCCCATTTGGGGGTTGATTCCTCTCCGCTGACCTGAGTTTTCCAGACCCCTGGTTCTCTAGCTGGACTTCAGCATGTGTAACCTTCCTTGTCCCTGATCCCACTGCTCTGTGTAGGCTCCTAACTAGGAGCAGAAAGTCAGAATAGAGCTGCTATTCTTTACAGTGCGGTTTTATTTGGGGGCATTTGCCCTCGTCTTGCTCAGCAGTATGTTGTGTAGCGCCGAGGGCGGGAAGCGGGCACCAGCACCAGCCGCTCTTTGCCATCCTCACAGGGTATGTGTTATTCCCACAGGGAGTTATACTGAGAGACTTTATTCACAAAAGCCTGTGCTAGGGTTGAGGGCAGTGGTTTAGATGCTGCAGGTCTCTGTGTGTGTGTTTGTGCGAGTTCTGGGCATCTAACCCAGGACTTGGCACGCGTTAGACTAGTGCTCTCCACTGAGCTACACACTGAGCCTGTTGTGGGTGTTTGTCTGTGCTTTTTAGTTGGGCCTTGTTAAGTAACCATTACACTAGGCCCCCAGCCCTAGGCTGGGAGGTTAATAAAAGGGCACCATCCCCTCTGCCTCATGAATAGCCAGGCACAGGTGAGGAAATCCAGGCGCAGAAGCAGTCATGTGATATACCTGGTGCTGGGTGTCTTTAAGCAGCTGTTTGATGGCAAGAAGCAAGGGCTCTTACTCTGAGGTCACTTCCTGTCTTCTCACCGTTTCCACCAAGCTGTTGGTCTGTTCTTGTTCCATGTGATGGATGCATCAGTGAGCTAATGGGTACTAAGAGACTCACAGATCTGAGACTAGCTTGAGTGCCGCCCTGTCTTGCTGGCTGTGAGAGGCTGGTCTCTGAGCTCTTTGGAGACCAATTAGCGACGTCTGCGAAGCAGTAACTGGAGCTCACGTTGCTCATCATGTTACTGCATGCGTCAACACCAGCCTGGTGCGGAATGGGTGTGGAACGGGGGATCCGGCCAACAGGGCATCCCGTGGGCTCCCTGCAGCTCAGAGCGGCTCCATGCCTTGTGGTGTGTCCAAGCACAGTGGACTTCCTCAGTGCCCAGCCGCATGCCAGGACATTCCTGGCTGGTGTGGGGCCGTCCTAAAGGACTTGTGCTCACAATGATAGTCGGAGATCACGAGATGACTCATGCCGTGGGTTTCCTCTCCCCAGTTTAATCTCTTCCATTTCCCATGGTTGCTGTTGACCAAGGAAGACGGTCCTCTCTGCCCTGTGTTCTTGAGGCCCGGCTCCTCCCGCTCTTGTCTCTGTATCAGGAGATGGGCAAACATGTTTGTACTTTAAACAAAGATGTTTGACAAATAAATACGAAATTGCTATGACCTATTTTTCTCCCACTCCAAAGTAACCTCCTTTTCCAATAGCTGAGGTTGCCCGTGTGTTGTAATTCGAGCAGTTTTCGTTTTTTCAATGAACTGGCTTTTTCTTTCCCTACGCTTTCTTCCGTTTGTCTCATTTTTAAACAATAATTGTTTTAATCTGTGAGTCTGGAAGAGCAACAGGTGCCCTCACCTCCCGAGCCATCTCTTTAGCCTCGTCGTCTGATATGTAATACGGAGTATTTGAAGTTGGGTATGGGGGCAGTGCGGATTCCTGCAGTGAGATTGGTAGCTGTGAGGTAGAGATCGGTAGTTGCAACTCTCCCAGGCTGCTTGGCGGTGCCAGAGCCTCTCTCTAGACATCTCTGCTGGTCTTTGAGGATCGGTGACTATGTCTGCCATGACTCTGCATATGCCAGGGGCAACTGTGTCCCAATGGTAGTGGTGGAGGTGGTGGTGGGGATGGTAGGGGTGGTGATGGTGATGGTGGTGGAGGTGGGGGTGATGGGGGGTGTAGTGGGGGTGGTAGGGATGGTGGTAAGAATGATGGTGGGGGTGATGGGGGTGGTAGGGATGGTGGTAAGAATGATGGTGGGGGTGATGGGGGGTTATGATGGAGTGAAGGGGGGTAATAAGGGTGGAAGAGACCATGAGAGACATGGAAGTGGTAGTGAGGAAAAGTGGGGCGGCAGGGAGGGGTGGCAGAGTTGGAGGTGGTTACAAACAGAGAGAATAGCTGCCTTCAGGGCTGAGGAGATGGCTCAGCGGCCATGAGTGCTCACTTGTGAAGCAGAGCCCCAGCATCCATGAAACACTGGGTGTGGACAAGCACACTGGTCCAGAGAAGACACGAGACACACATGACACCGATGATAACACCAGATGGAGCAGCAGGACACTAGACTGCTAAGGCTCCAGGCTAGCCAGCCTAGCGGTGGGGCACACCTTTAATCCCAGCACTCTGGAGACTGAGGCAGGTGAACATCTGAGGTCAAAGCCAGCCTGGTCTACAGAGCAAGCTCCGAGATGGCCAAGGCTATACAAAGAAACTCTGTCTTATAAAACAAACAGAAAGGAAGAAAGGAAGGAAGGAGGGAGGGAGGGAAAGAAAAGAAAGAAGGAAGGAAAAAAGAAAGAAAGGAGGGAGGGAGGGAGGGAGGGAGGGAAAGGAAGGAAGGAAGGAAGGAAGGAAGGAAGGAAGGAAGGAAGGAAGGAAGGAAGGAAGGAAAGGCGGGCAGGGCAGTCTGGCAAGCTCCAGTTCAAGAAGAGACTGTCTGGATGGAATAGCATTTGATGTCCACCTCTGAATGTGCATGCCATACAGTACGGTGTGCCCACACGTGTACCCCACACAAAGGGAATATCTGGGCCAACAAGATGATCCAGAGGGTAAAGGCGCTAACCACTAAACTTCACAACCTGAGCCTGACCCCCAGAACACACACAAATACATGTAAAACAACCTTAAAAAAAGAAAAAGAAGAAGAAATAGTTAACTTGAGGAGGTTGAAGCAGGAGGATCATCATGTGTTTGAAGACAACCTAGACTACAGGATGAGCTTCCCAAAATTTGTCTCAACCTAAATATAAAGGGAAAGGATGGGGAGGAAGGAAGAATGTTTGGCATTTGTCACTCTTCACTGCTCCCAGAGCCTTGCAGTGTTCGAGTCCGACAGCTCTCAGATCAACCACAGGAGTCAGCTTAAACAAACACTAATTGAATGATACCCACCAGTGACCAGTTTCTCCAATCCTGGCATAGAGCTGATTCTTATGGCCTTGAAGGGGCCGGTCCCTTCCTGGTCCCGGGCAGTGGGCAGAGGCTTCCCAAGGTGGGAGGAGCCCGAGAGGCCTCCTGTCTCAGGCTGTGTGCCTTTCTTTCTCCCTTGCAGAAGGTGGATGTGCCCACGATGCTGAGGTTTCTCAGGGAGCAGAGGATGTTCATGATCCAGACTATCGCGCAGTACAAGTTCGTCTACCAAGTCCTCGTCCAATTCCTGCAGAACTCCAGGCTCATTTGAGTTCCCAGCTGCAGCTTCTAGAGGAGGGCGCCAGCTCTATCCTGCAGGGAGCGCCACTTCTGGACAACATCTGCCTCCTCAGTTGGAGGTGGATGGCTTGCATCAGGCAAGAGCCAGAGTTACTTACAAACATCATGTATTATTTTATATGAGATAATTTATTTTTCCGTCTTTGGAATAAGTTTTGTTGAGTTATTATAATGCATTTTTTTTCACAATAATATAGTGCTTCTCATTTGAACCACATGTTGACTGATCTGCATATAAGCCCCCGGGAGGGAAGGTGGTGACCCCATGGGACACTGTAGGCACAGAGGCATAAGGGAACACATTCCTAGTGAAGGTGCAGACAAATTACTAATGCCCCCAGTCAAAAGTGGCAAGCGAAAGAATTCACTCACTTCCCAGCTGGAAGGAAGAGAGCCGAGGAAGGCCCTTGCAAGTGTCCCCTTAACACTGGATCCACGTGGCTCGCTGGATAGCTGCTTCCCACTGCTCCTTTGCTGCCCTCATCCCCATGATCTCTCAGTCCCTAAGCCTGGGGTGAAAAGTTTAAGGCTGGCCGTGCTGTCTTTGCTGCTGGCTCTGCTGCTCACTCAGCCCTTGTTCTGGCCCAGAACTCTGATGCGGTGATGGAGCCCATCTTGCATGCTCCCAGCACTCTCGTCTGGTGGCCCTGGGCCAGGCCATCTGCCCGGCTCAGCCCTTTGCCTGACTGAGAGAAGATAATTGGGCAGGGTGGGAACGGCATCGGGTGGGGCCTCGATGTGGATTCTTAACTAAGTAATGTTGAGTGTGGCGGATGGGGACTTAAGAGGGTGAGGTTTGGGTCTGTTCCATTTTCCTATCCATGGCTAAGTTGTTAGAAGGGTCTTAAGGGTAATGGCTAAGGAAACTCACATCTGGGAGCCGCCTGGTACTCGGCAGCAGGGCCCTGGCCAGGAGGCTCACCCCTGACAGGCATGCACCCTACCTACCTCACTTGCATGCTGATTGATTCTAGGCTCTGGCTAACAAGGACTGAGTTGATTCCACCTAGGGCTTCTTTGTTGATGTCTTGAGGCTGGGCCCCAGGCTGAACTTGGACTTGGTGTGTAGCAAGACGATGGCTCTCAGTCTCCCGTCTATACCTCCCAACCGTTGGGATTTCGGGTGTGAACACCACACACAGGCCATACTTGCCCTCATGATGAATACTGAGACTGTCTTTTGTAAAATCCTCCACTGCCTACCTTTCCTTGCATAGCCCAGTTTCTGGTCAGTGATGGTATCAACTACCCTCACACTGAAGCTCAGTTTCCTTCCGTGTCTTTTCTGAGTATAATTTCTTCACTGTGTTTGTGGAACTGATTGTGTCTTGTCTCCCTCCCTAGTTACGTTTTCCTTTTCTCGCCCCCCTGAGCTGAAAAGACCAACCAGAAAGAGCATGCCTTTGTGGCTTCTATCCACTCCACCAACACACACACACACACACACATACACACACACACACACACACCGCCCAGCACACTAGTAGATGCCCATGACAGCAGATTCCCCATGAGCATCTCCGGAAGATGAGCAGAGCTGCCTTCCCTCTGGGCCAGCGTGGTGCTGATACTGGTATTCCTACAGCATCTGTGAGTTCAGAATCTGAAGGCGGGGCACTTCCACCTTCCCTTCCACGGTGCAGAATGAATTGAGGGGCGTAGGTGATCATGACCCTTGTAGACCTGGCACACTGACGTAGGTGTCTGGGGGGGGGGGGAATGGAAAAGCCCGTGGAGGCTGTTCTTTCAAGACAGTTCCCTCTTTCAGGTGTCCTAACAGTCGGTGCCACTAACAGTTTCATTCTGGGATGAAGAATGTTGATATGCACCTGCCGTCTCTAAGCCTTGTTGTGTTAGAATGTCTCACGTGAGCAGCGAGGAGAAATGATGCCCCTCTCAACTCATCACTGGGGCTGTTTCTGTCTTATGCTAACAGAACAAGGGACAGGGAAGACGTAGTCTTCGTACCCAGCTTCCTAGCCAACGCACTATGAAACCCCAAAGGACAACAAAGGACACTTAGTGTCCTGTGCTGTATCTCCTCCTTAAACACTGTTGCCTCTGGTTCTTCAGCACATTCCGGATTCCCTCTCCCACCCAGGAAGCCCCCAGAGATCTCTGGTTAAATCAGCAGCAGGCATTTCAAGTCCTCTCGGTGGCATCTGCATAACAATCGCCGAGAGCCCGCTCTACCTGGGAAGCTAGCCAAGGAGTAAGCCTTGAAGCTAAGTGTATTAAATTAGTTATCTAGTCAGGGTTTGGATGGGTTTCCTGACAGTGTGTTGGGACTGAAGCTGGAGCTGTCAGAGCCCATGGCTGCAGTTTGGATTTGAAGGGGGAGAAAAATTAAAACGGGAGCCAGTAAGACATCCCATCTCACAACAGAGCAGTGGGCCATTCCTCCACCCCTGGTTTGAGGTTTTCATGTTGTGCAGTTGGTTCTGCCCTCCACCCACGCCCATTTGCATATGCCCACCTTTGTCCCTGTCCAGGGTCTCTGCATCCTGGCTGAGATGCTCTGTGGCGAAGGCCAGGAGTGCCTGGCTGGTCTAGTGGGGCTCTGAGGTGGTTCCTGGTGGAGCAGGAGGACCGCACATCTGAACGCGCTTGCTCCTCAGTGCTCCCCGCTCTGGGTAGAGGTGAGAGCAGGTTTAGGCAGCGTGCTGGTTGCTTTACTGAGGTGAAGACAGTGGGTCCCTCTACTCACTTGGAGGGGCTGCAGATTCGGGGAGGGGGTGGCATCTCACGTGGACTGTGTCACGCAAGCTTTGGTTTAATGCGCTTACTTTGGGAGACTTTTCTGCTATGAGAACAGGCCGACTCACTCACTGTTCTTCAGTTAGAAGTTACTGCCTCCCTCCTTCCCTCCCTCCCTCCCTCTCTCCCTTCCTCCTTCCCTTCCTCCTTCCTTCCTTCTTTTGCCTGTGTTTTGGGCTCTCTCAGCCACCCCCACTAACCTGGACAGAGGGTCTTTGTGGGATGAAGCCACGGACTCCGAAGCAAGCCACACCCTTGCCCACTGTCAGCTTCAGCTCCCAGCGACCACCCCCTGTGTGCAGAGGAGGTCATCATTTTCCTGTTTTTTCTAGTTAAATGTATATTGAACACGCTGAGTTCCCAGAAATGGAGGGCGCTTTCTGGACTGACAGAATCCCTGTCATTTGTTTCTTCTCAGCTCATTGAAGGTTTAATACCACACGGCTTTTCCTCAGCTAAGAGCTAGTGAACACAGGACTGGCTCTTTATGATGTGGCTACCTAGAGTGGTGGCCTTGCATCTCCTAGGGCTGGGAGCTGTCCCTGCACGCAGACTGGCACGTGATAGACTGCTGTGGGGTCTTCAGTTGCTTCTTGAAGCACTAGCTTAGTGCTCTGTATCCTCTGACCTCAGGCCCGACATTATCAACAGGTCCCAAACATGTCCTTAGGCAACGAGCACCCTGTGTCTTCCAATCTGTCCCCTATTTCCAGTGGCATGACTAACGGAGAGGGCAAATTTAGTTATTGGTTTCTGTCTGGGGGAGATGTGCCGCTTACCTGAGGTGAGAGGGCGAGAATACGGGAAATTTAGGATGAACTCAGGGACATGACTAGCCCTGAGCCCTGTTGGCGATCATTTCCCGTTCCTTCTCAGCATTAGGAGCAACTCTGTCCACAGAGTGCCAAGTCTCTGCTGTTGGGCTCTCGGCTTCCCTTTGTCACCAAAGATTCTTCTGCTGCCGTTCCCTGCCGGTGCCCCAGTCAGGCTGCCTTGAGGTGGGCCTCCAGCTCACACAGCTTCTAATAGAGAGATTTGGGTCTTCCACGGGAACTGCGCACTCCCTGGTGGCCTACAACTTGATGAGTGACAGACTCGCTGTCTCTAGAATGTAGAATAAGTCGCAGTTAGCCCTGTCGGATTGCGCTCTGAGCGAAGCAGTAGAATGGTGCTGGCCTTCACCTCAGCTTCTGCGTCCTTGGGCAGCAAACCACCTGTACTGATACATGTGTGGAACATAGCAGCCACACGTCTGGAGAAATGGGCGGGTGTGTGCAGCCACATGCTGCCAACCCAAATGGCTTGTGCAAATGTCAGTTACTCTAGGGGAGCTGGGACACGGGTCCACCAGCCTGTCTAGTGTTCGGCCTTCCTGCCCTGCTCTCAGCTTTTTCATCCCCATCACAAACTCGGGAAGTGGGCGTCTTTATCTCGACCACCCTGCTCAGCCTTTGCAGCCTATTGCAGTGCACGTCTTTCTCAAACTCGCGCTGCTGCGTTCTCCGTCAGCCTGCCCATGACCGCGTTAGGGAGCTGGCATCCTTCAGTCTCATAGATGGATAATACAGTGCTACTTAGAAATCACTGCTGTCCAGAGCTCCAATCAGCCTCCTCATTTTAGAGAGAATTAAAGGCCACTGAGTCATCTGGCAGGGGCTGGAACAAATGCCAACCTAGATATGGTTAGTAGGAAAGCTATTCTGCTCTAGCTGTGCCATCATGGGATCATTTATCAAAAGTGCCCCGAACTTGTCCAAAGGCATGGTGGGGAGAGCTTAGGTCAGCTCTGTGTTTCCTACCCAAAATTCACTGGGTATACAATTTTTTGAACCCTGGCGTGAACTAGAGTTGGAAACAATGATGGAACACCTCAGGAAAGGCCGTGCTCCAGTGTTGAGCACTGGAGTCCACTTCTCCCGGGCTCCTTGCCTGCTGCCTGTAACCAACTGTGACATGTGGCCTCTGTGCCTAGACGGCTGCTTGGAGACTCTGCCTGACACTGCAGACCCTCCTTCCTCCGTGGCTTCTGAGCGGAGTTCTGCCCATGCAAGTCACATGCATTCAAAGTACAGGCACAGCTGTGCAGTAGCCGAGAGGGTTCCCGTGGTATGGGGACAAGGTGGCACCTTTATAATGTCACTGACTTTGTCCCCACGGCTGTTTTGTCCACCCAGAACACTACCAGCTTCTCATGCTCGCTCAGCTGCTTCCCAGACCAGCAGTCTGAAGCTCACTTTGAATTTTAACCTACCTGTCCATAGAGCCCCCCACCCCAACGTTAAATCTGGCAACCATGGTCTTAAACCCCTCTAAAATAGCCACATAAGAAATCTTAATTTAACAAAAAAAAGGCTTCATGGCCTCAAGAAATGTAACCTGGGAAGGGAGTCACCAAAAAGAAGGGGGCAGAAGACCAGGCCATCCTCCATCATGTCCCTCTTGGTGACACAGTTGCCAGAGGAAGAAAGAAAATAAGAACTGTTATCAATATTATTAAAAATAAGGGTAGCAGCAGGATTCCCTGTTTATTCTGAGGCATCCTTCACAGGCTTTTCGGTGACAGCATTGCTTGGTAACCTGCAGTCTAACCTACTTCTAGCTTGCTGAAAGCACTTCCTCCGCCTCCCTGCTTACTGCCACCTGGTGGGGGGACAGGTGCACCTCGGGACTTCCCAGGAGCCCCACCGGCTGTGCTGGGATTCATAGTCCAACCCCTCTGCCTTCTTTGTTCTTCCCCAACCTCCTCCTCCAGGGACTCTGGGGTGGAGACTGAGAGGAGGGAAGCCGAGCATCTTAGGTTGGGTTTTTCCGTGCCTGGGGGGTGGGACTTCTTGCTCAGGCCTCAGGAATGCTGCTTCACGTTTAGCCAGGTGGCTCTGGGCAGGCGCCTGGCGTTCTTGACATTTCTCCGGGGGCCTCCTGCCTCCCCCAATGACAGTGTTAGCTAATAAATACCTTCAGCATTGTACTGAAAACTGTCCTTCGCAGCCATTTTATTCAGACTCAGACGCTGTAAGATTTTTTTAACTGCAATTTCTCTGAAGTTCCTTGCCACTGCGGGCAGTCCTAAACGTTTTTAGCCGCGTCTTTTCCAATACAAGCTCACTCTTCACCAGAGATGGTTTCCACATGTGCCCTCCATCCCTCGGCGGTCAGCTGATCTGGCTGAGGGTACTCTGGGAGGAGGGGCTTACTTATGCAGATGACTATTAAAAGTGTAACGTGTGACCTGTCACGTACACCGCAGGCTAGTTCATTCGAGTTGTGCCTTCATTCAGTATTTTCATGCTTCCTTTTGCTCTGTGTTCTGTCAAACGTTGTGAATTTCTGTTTCCTTAAAAATAATGGACATTTATAGATTTTATTTTGAAATGGTGTATAGACACCCCCACCCCCAGCTTAGAAAGCAGATTTACAGTTCTTGGTTCAGCCACGGAAGCCTAGTGACTCTCACCAAGGACGGAAGTCAGCGCTAAGTCACGTGCGGTTGGCTTTCAAGAGCTGGCACCCACCATGGTGTACGCTGTAGAAAACACATTCCAGACTGGGACTCAGCACCCTGTCCATAGCAGCCGCTTGCAACTCGGCAGAGATGGTGGCCAAGCCTCTCTCCTAGCAAACTGCAGCTGAGGGTGGGAATGACAGAGAAGACAAGAGGACATTCCTTCCCAAGTCCCCAGTGACCACGCTGACAGTCCTGGCAGGGTCCCCTGCCAAGTGATGCATGCTGTTCGTATCAGGTAATAAGCTCCTGCTTGCCAGCTTCTCACACAGCGCTGAGGTGTAGGGAGCTGACTTTTGACAGTATTTTTTTGCACTGTTTCTTACGAAGTCTTATTTAGCTATTGGTCCTAGAGGATGTTGTCTCTGTCCTTGTCATTGCTATAAAATGTTTCTCCTATGTGCCTTCACAATGTGAGATCTTTATTCTAACCTGTTTTTGTAAAAGATATCTATTGATTTCTACATGCAATAAACCTTGTTTTGATTGTTGTCAGAGAAAGCACTTAAGTCTTTCATTAACACATCTGCACTACTTGCGTACACTGGCCTCCCTTTCTTTGTATGTTTGTGCATGTGTGGGTGCACGCATGTATGTGTGTGCATTCGCATGTGCCATCCATGCCCACAGAGACCAGAGGCCAGCCTTGGCTGTCACTCCTCAGGAGCTTTACCTTACTCCTGGTCTCTCACTGGCCTGGGGCTGCTGATTCCAGCAAACCCGGGGGTATCTTATCTCTGCCACTGGGATTACATATATGTGCCACCAAGCCCTGCTTTGTGTCATGGGTTCTGGGGACTGCACTCAGTTCCTCATGTCCACATGGTCAACACTTTCCTGACTGAGCCATTACCCCAGCCCTATGGTCTCTCCTACTTCAAGATCAGTTTGGGGTTGTGTAATGGTGGTGGTACCCGCTTTTAATCCAGAGGCAGGTGGATATCTGAGTTCGAGGCCAGCCTGGTCTACAGAGCGAGTTCTAGGATAGCCAGGGCTACACAGAGAAACCTTGTCTCGAAAAACCATACACACACAAAAAGCAGTTTTGTAGGCAAAGACTTCTGGGGAACTGCCTTCTGTGTTCCTTCCGACGTATTTAATTTGTTTGCATTTCTGATATCTTCACCGTGGAAGAAACACACAAGAAGCAGATATTGAGAAAGTAGTGGAAACAGCCTAGAAATGGGTTTCTCTCGAGCATTCACAGAACCCTCATGAAGCACGAAGCACTCCCCCTCCCCACTGTCCTTCACCCTGACGCTCTGTTGATGTGGAAGGCAGGGTGCTGTAGTAAACCCACCACCCACGTTCTTGGTTTTGTCCTTCAGTTTTGTAAAAGCTCAGTTCATCCCTAGGTTTAAAGCTGCTTCCCTTCCTGGTCCCTTCAGACACAGCATGCAAGCACCCTCCTTCTGCCTGTGAAGAGGTGAGGAGGCTGTGTGCCCATGGTGAGCAGGGGGCAATGTGGACAACTTCCAACAGTGGTAGGGTTCCTTCTCAGTCAGGGTTCTATTGCTATGAGGAGACAGCCCTTATAAAGGAAAACGTTTGATTGTGGCTCACGTATGGTTAAGAGCTTCAGTCCATTATCACGGCGGGTAACAAGGCAGCATGCAGGCAGACATGGTGCTGGGGTAGGGAGCTGAGAGTCTTTACATCTTGACTCACAGACAACAGGAAGTGGTCTGAGACACTGGGCATGGCTTGAGCATATAGGAGACCTCAAAGCCCACCCCCACAATGACACACTTCCTCCAACAAAGCCACACCTAATAGTGCCCACTCCTTATGAACTTCTAGGGTCCAGTGACATTCAAAAAAACATAAACAGTAAGTCCTTCACAACCTGACTTGTCTTCCTTGTGAATAGGAATACTGAAAGTCACTCTGGGGAAAAGAAGGTGTTCACTCCAGCAAACATGGAAATTGTCGATGGGACAATTATAATTCTTGAAATAAGAGCTACATAATGTTTGTAAAAGACAACACAAATGGGCCAGTGAAAACGGAGAGCAGGGAGACGGAGCGATGAGCACTGAGCAAGCCCAGTTTATTTTCTTTAGCTAATTAAAAAACAATTTTCAGTATACACTCGAGAAGTCAAACCATCAGCATGAGGGCTAGAGAGATGGCTCGGTGGTTAAAAGCACTGGCTGGCAGCTCACACAGTCTGTCATTATAGTTCCAGGGGATCCAATGACCTCTTCTGGCCTCCTTGGGCAGTTCATACATGTACTGCACACACATACATACTTGAGACAAAACTCGTATGCATAAAAATTTTAAAATGTTAAAGCCATCATCACATGCATACCTGTTAATCTCCAAAGAAAATATTAACAGAGACAAAGAAATCAACCTTTTAAAATATTTATGTGTACTTGTGTGTCTGAGGGTACATGCACATGAGTGCAGTGCCTGCTGAGGCCAGAAAGGGGAGTCAGATCCCCTGGAACTGGAGCTGAAGGTGTCTGTGAGCCACCTGACAGGGTGCTGCAACCACACCCAGGTCCCCTGCAGGAGCAGCAAGAGGCACTCTTAACCACTGAGCCCTGTCTGCAGCTTGAGAAAAACAAAAAGAATCCCTTAAACCAAAGAAACATATTCAAAAAATGTTCACAAGTGCTCCAAGCATGCATCAGAGTGAAGGGGAGCAGGGATCTCAACAGACTGCTGTTTTGTGAGCTTACATTTTACTTTCCTTAGCTGTAAAAAATACAAAATCCAAGCATTGAGAAGACTAGGTAGGGCTGTGTAAACAACTAAACACTTTTTTGAGGCAAAAATCTAGACAAATGGATGAGCTTCTCAATCTGTGAACAGGAGTCCTCAGGACGTCCAGTGTGTCACTGGTTGGGATGTAGAAAAGCCCCCAACAGCTCCCGGGTGGGAGGGAGGAGAGAACCAGTTCTAAAGATTCTAGAGTTATTGGGGGTGGGCTTTAGAGAGAAGGCTCAAGAGTTCTCCGCCTTTCCAAGGACCTGATTTTAGATCCCAGCATCCATAGAAGGCAGCTCATCACACTCCAGCTCTAGGGGATCTGACAGCCCTTTCTGCCCTCTGAGGGCATCTGTACGTTCATGCCATAACATGCAATAACAGTTCTTTAAAAATTTTGATTTAAAATATAAAGTTGGAAACCTTATGAGATGCTGTCCCTCCTAGGCTTGCAGTCCTGGCTCTTAGTTGGTGGCACCATTGTGAAGCTGCGGATCTTTAGGAGGTCAAGCCTTGCTGTCTCTGGGGTTGGCCTCAGGCGCTGTTCTCTGCCGTATGTCCAGCCAGCCTTCTGGTCCGCCGTCATGCATTCCCTACCCCCTGCCACACCCTCCCCTCCACAATGGACTCCATCCCTCAGAACTCAAAGCCAGAATGAACACTTTTCCCCTAAAAATTGCTTTTGTCCAGGTAGTTTATCACAGCGAGAGAGAAACTAAACAATACATCCAACAATCACCGGTAGACCACAGGCATAGGCTAAAATGTTGTTTTCTCCACCTAAAAATTGGAAACAATTTGCCTCTGCCCATTTAGCATCTTAAGCTCAGCACTGGGAAGGCAGAGGCAGGTAGACCTCTGTGAGTTCGAGGCCAGCTTGGGCTACATAGAGAGTTCCAGGACAGACAGAGATACATAAAGAAACCCTGTCAGAGAGAGGGGGGGGAGAGGGGGAGGGACGGGGGGGGGGAGAGATAGAGAGCGCAAAACACATACCCATGAATGCAAGCGTCCTGAGGCAATCAGGCCATCTGCACTCTTATACTCTAAGGTTGGGAACAATTGCTAAGTGCAGGAAAAGGTGCCCACAGTTAAGCAGCTTGGGTTTGCCTCTGTATCCGGGGAAGGTGGACAGACCTGACCAGTGGCGTCTCCTCCAGGCTGGGGCACACTTTTCTAATTTCCTGAGAAACTGAACCCTTTCTGACATAAAGAGGGTACCCCAAGCTCACGTGATTCTCAGCCACGGCTATCCACTAAAAGAGCACTCGACAGGAAGAATAGGACCGTCTCTGCCTTCATGCGCTGGAGGGGCAACCGTGCTCTGCGTCCAGGAGAGGGTCACTGGATGACTCCACAGACAGACTGCATTCCACCAGCTCAATCCCACTGTGTGGAGACTGAGAGCCCTCCACATGGAGAGGAGGGGAGGGGGACATACTGGTGCTGGCCAGTCACTCAAGCCATTTCCCCAAGGGGACTGTGGCAGACAACCAGAGGGCACCTCCATTAAGTTCTACTTGTCATCCAGTGGGGAACTGGCGCTCTGTGGGGTGCAGACTTTTCTGTGAGTACCACCCCTGCCCTCAGCTTAGGGACTGCTAACAGGCTCAGGTTGCTGTGGTCCTGGTGGCCAGGCTGGGAGGAGCTGGAGTCCTGCTGGCGTGGGGGTAGAGACCAGTGTTTGCTCACAACACAGGGTTGGTAAGGAATTAGTTCTTCCTCCTCAAGTTTACTCTGGAGTCTTTCCAGAACAGGAGAGGAATGCACAGGGGCTAGTCCATGGAACAAGAGAGGAAAAGGCAGGAAGATGCAGCCTCCATTGCTCAGGATCTCCAGAAGGTGCCAAAGAGAAGCCAGGAAGAAGCCAAGTCCTCCTTCCAGGGAGGGCACCTAGGCCGGCTGGCTGCTTCTAGCGCCTTCCCTCCCGCCCCTCTCCCTCCAGAGTCTAATGTGAAAGGAACTGCAGACCAAAGAAGACGAACCCCACTCGCGGGCAAAGAACTGGACTCAAGGACTGAAGGAGAAGACGCCTCCCCCAGCACACATGCATGCATGTATGCATACACACATGTGCACATACGCACACGAGCGCATCCTCATAGATGTGAGAAACACTTTCAAGGCCTGGCTCTTTTATTCTTTTCTCATTCGACTCTATGCAGAACATTCCAATAGGCACGGAGGAAAAATAATTGTGATTTTAAAGCTCAGTCTGCCCCAAATCTGTATTTCATGAAGTCATGCTATGACCTTAAAAAAAAAAAAAAAAAAGGAACGTACTGGAGATGGATTTAAGGTCAGAGCTGAACATGAACCTGAAACAGTGGCACAGGCAAGGCTTTGCGGAAGGCTGGGGTGACCCGTGAAGCTGCAAATATTCAAGTCCTATGAGGTTCCTGAAGAAAAGCTGGGGTGCAGTCAGTGGCTCTAGATTTCCTGCTTGATCTCGGAGATGTATGGATGGTCCTTGCCGTGAGCTACTTCCATGATGGCAATGGCCTAGGAGAGGGCAAGACATGGGGCAGATGAGCCCAACCAGGATCCTGGCCTGCTGCACCCAGTTTGACAGCAGTCCGTGCTGCATGCCAGTGCTTCCGGGTGCAGCATGCAAGCCACCTCTCCCAGCCCCCTCCTCACCTCCACCTCCACCCCTACCTCCACCTCACAGCCTCCTCCTCACCTCCACCTCCTCCTCACCTCCCCCTCCACCCCTACCTCCACCTACTCCACCTCCTTCTCACCACTTCCTCACCTCCTCCACCTCCACCTCACAGCCTCCT